TTAGTGTTTAGTCAAAGCATAGTTAAGTTTTTTTTTATTTTGGTCCAAACCTTTTTATTCATTTTTCATGTTTTATTATTATTTTAGTCCAATTAATAAATAATAAACCTGAAATAGCCAGAAAATATGAATAGGCAATTAGGGTAAAAATGTATTTGAACGAAAAAAGGGAAACAGAGTCTGCCGCTTCACGGAAAACTGTGCCGTGTCACAGGACATACTGCCACACCACGGCATGATCCCCCGTGATACGGTTCCAGTGCCGTGACATGGGACAACTCCGTGTCTTTTCCGCGTAAACCTTTCATGCGTTTAATTCCCATAGGTTAATTATTTCCCGCGTCACTCCAGAAGACCCCGCGTCACACAAGGGTTTGCCGTGTCACGACATATTTTTCCGTGTCGCGACAGTGTTTTTAGGGTTTTTATCCTTTTTAGGGTTCCGTGTGTTCCCTCTACTAATTTTCCCTATAAATACCCCCTCATTTCTGATGTACGGGGCATAAATTAACTCTCTTTTCTCTCTTCTATGCTCTAGCCTAAACACTAGCCTACCTTATTCTTTCAAAATTCCTTCCTTAAGTACTCCAAGGAGTCCGTACTTTACTTGAGGTTCTGTCCTTAAACCAAGGCGTGAAAGGTAGAACTGTTTGAGGGTTTGGCCCCAAATCAGCTCTATTTAATTTAATTTAATTATTGTTTTATTAAATTTCTTTGAAGTTACTAACTCGTTTATTATTTTATAGTTGCAAGCAAACAAAATCAAAGTAAGAATTATGTTCTTTTTAATTCTATTATTTTTCTAACGATTTTATATTGTTGGATTTATTGTTAAAGTGATTCCAATATTAATGTTTATTCTATTATTATTTGTTGATCACCATATTGCATGTTAAAGTGAATATGTAATTGAAAATCACGCCTAATAAGATAATTTGAACAACCGGTTTACGTTCCTTTTTAATCTTGTTATTAATTCAAGTGACCACAATATTTTAGAATTATATGTTGCATTAATATTTAGGAAAAATACACTTTAATAATCCCAACTTTGCCCAATTTACTTTAAATAATCCCAACTTTTGAATATTATGCAACGATCCCAACTTCAATATGTGTTTTCTTTTTTCAATCCCATTTACCGATAACCTGAAAAAGGGTTATTTTTTTGTTTAAAAAAAAAATTTCCACGTGTCACTTGTTTATTGGTTCATAAAAAAATTAATAAGTTTTTTTTTTTTAAAACAGAAAAAAAAAAAAAAAAAATCAAAGCCCAAGGCCCCAAGCCTTCCATGACCACCGTTGGTGGCCACGGCCTCCCCAACCCTATTCTCGACCCTAATTTGCGTTTTACAACGCCCACCACTAAAATCCGCTACCTCCACCTCGAAAAACCTTAAAACCGTAAGCAGCGCACCGTTGGGACTTGGGAGCTTGGGACAGATTCGAAGATGGGGAATGAAGAAGGCATGTTTCTGGATTGAGGGAAGCGATAAGGGAGAAGGTCGATTATGGTGGTGTGGGAATTGAGGGGGCTCCGATTTCGGCGGTGTGAGATGCGAGAAGGTTGGTGTTCTTGGTTTAGGGAAGGGAGAAAGGCGGTTGCGAGTTTAGGGAAGGGAGGAATGGCTAGTTTCGGTGGTGTGGGAGGGAGGGGGCGTCGGTTTCCGAGATGGGGTAGGGGTGGAGTAGCCGATTTTCTAATGTTATGGTGGTTGGGCGGCAAAAATCGGTGGCTAGGGATTAAGTGGTGGTGGTTCGGGGGTAAGCTAGGGAGAAGGGCCACCGTTGGTGGCTGGTGGGCGTAGTGGCTGGTTGTTTTGTTTTTAATTTTTTTTTTTCTTTTTAGTTTCTTTTTTTTTTTATTTGTAAACCAATCACGTATTGACACGTGTTCACTACAAGAAAATAACCTTTTCGTAGCGATTATTTTAACCTTTAGTATCGATTGTAATTGCAACAAAAAGCTTTCCTAACGAATGGTCATTCGATACAATATCCCCCGTTGCCTTAGCCTTTACTAGTGGTTTTCAATATCGCTGGGGTTGGCCTCAATAATCGATACGAAAAATCAAGTATAGTATGCCAAGGCTCACCTTTGGTTAGCTAAACAACTTCTTTTTTTTATAATATACATATGGAAAAAAATGCTATGGTTGTGTAATCTTTTATCAGGCTGTTTCTCAAGTTATTATTTCATCAAGTATATGGCAAGGGGAGTGGGGAGTATAGTTCACAGTTGGTCTCTGGGGATATAATTGTATTAATGTTGAGAATCGGTCTTTTAATTTACTCTTTTGGAGTCTTTACTCTTCCCAAAAGGCTCCTCTTGCGTAGTGATGTGGTTCAAATTCAGAGCTTACAACTCGGTTTATAACCACAACATTTTCTACAATCGAACACAACACTTGGTGTTTTTACTACATGTTTTTAAATTGATTCTTAGCAGGTATGATTATGTAAATTGCTTGCTATGTTCATATAATAATTTGTTTTTTATTACATTATATACTGAGGATTTGGTTTGGTTTTTATTAGTTCTTTTTTTCCTTAGGTACCAAACAAATGCCAAGTGATTGATTAAGTGTTTATTAGGATCGCACGGGTCACTTTTGACTCCTCGTGTAATTTGAGCTCTGCTGTTGGTGAGAGCTGTGTTGCTGGTGCATTTCATGGCAGTAGTATTACTAAGGTTGGTCCAACTAAATCAAACAATTAATTTAAATAAAAATAATTATTGTAATTAGTGGGTTGCAAGAAACAACAGAATTTTCGGGGAAGCAAATAGCAATCCGTTGTTGACACTAGCAGTTATCTCAAAAGGGTTAAGACAACAAAGTTTATTTTCGGAGGATTCGGGGGACAATCTACGGTGTTTACGCCCTCCAGAGAGAGGATTAGATCAGATGATGCCCCAATTTCTCACGGTGAGAAATAAATTTTGTTTCCCACATGGCATTTTTGTAAATAAACCAACAACTTTATTCAACTGTGGAGCCCACAATAATGAAAAAATTGTTGATTTATTCACGAAAATGCCCCTATGAGAAACAAATTTTGTTTCTCACTATATGAGAAAAAGGGAATTTCCCATTAGATCATCCATGCCACCGGGGATTTTACGAGCTATTTTACAGAATGCTGGCATGAGTGATATTTCTACGATGACTATATTGGTAGATGGCTCGTGGAATAAACGTACTCATGGTTCGGGATGAGGGTGATGTCCAGAAAAAGAAGAGTTTGGTATTCAAGGAATGTTGGGCGGAGCGGCTCATGGTTTGGCTCACTCGCCCTTACACACGGAGATGAAAGCTTGTCTTGAAGGTCTTCGGTGGGAGCAAAAAGTTTATTGCAGGCTATTACAATTTACACGGACTATGCTTCTCTTGTAGAGATGCTGAGGGAAGAAATGGTAATTGATGTCAATCTATGGACGGTGGATGATATTCGCTGAACTAGTAACGCCTTTACATGGTGTAGCATGCACAATGTTCAAAGGAAATGAGTTCACAAGGCGCATATCCTTGCTACCACGGCTAATAGTAGTTTATCTTCCTTTAATAATGCTGTTTAGTCTATTTGTTTAACCTAGTTCTTCAGTGCGTAAACTCCTTTGCACATGAAGAATTCATTCTACATACTCATTTCTTCCTAGAAGATAAGAAGAGTACGATACGAAAGAGCTAACTGTTTATTAGAAACCGTTTGATAGAAGACTATCTATAGTTCTATTCGGAATAATGTTGTTAACTCATTATTAGAAACCGTCAGATAAAGCCCATCTAAAAATCTATTTCGGGTAATGCAAAATCTGATCGTAACAAAAGGTAGAAAAGAATGTAGTACTCATAATTAGATAAAAGCCCAAAGTCATCTTTAAATTTGTTGATCATGGTTGAAAGTTTGAAACCCAAGAATCCAAGATCGATTAATGTACTCTACCACTCCCCCCCCCCCGCCCCACACACACACGTGAAAGCCCTTTGGGTTTCCTAGCGCAAACTATTGCACTTAAAAGTAGGGGTGGATGAGATTTGAACATGTGACCTTTTGTGTCACGCTAACTCTTGATCGATTTATATACTATATTAATTAATACTCCGTAGTTCAAGAACTCTAACCATAATTATGTGAAATTATTTTGTCCTCGTAATTTTGCTGATCAAGGTCAATAATAATTCCTAAACGGTTTAAACCCTAATAATTTAAGTTAGTTCCAACAGAATGGAAATATTTAGAGCAGTGATGAATTAAGGGGCTATTCACTTCAGCGTAATTTCAGTTTAGGGCATGTTCACATTTGCTGAACTGAGCTGAAACGAAATAATTGAAACTGAACTGAACTGAACTGAACTGAACTGAGCTAAAATGAAAATTTTATGAGAGAAGGAAATAAAGGAGCTGAACTGAACTGAATGGAGCTGAACTGAACTGAAATTAAGCTGAAGTGAACAGACCCTTAGTTCAGATCAGCTTCTAATTTCATTTTCTCATAAAATATTCATTTCACCTATATTCAGTTCAGTTCAGCTCTAATCAGTTCAGTTCATTTCATTTCAGCTCCAATCAGTTCAATTCAACTCTGTTCAATAAATGTGAATAGACCCTAATAAAAACAAAAGGCAGTTTGGCACCCCAAAATAGAGTTCCCCAAGTTGTGCTCTGTACCATTTACATTAGCTTAAAGAATAAAACTATATATATGTCACGCTTTACCTTGAAATAGTAAAGATTTTACATATACGACACTTAATCCAATTTTATTTGTATGCCTAACAAACTTATGAATTTCATTCAAATGCAATTTTTCGATTTATTTTCTTACACGTCAAAATCGAAAAATTATATACATAAGAGAACCACCCAAATAATAATAATAATTAAGAAGCTTAATTTGTTGCTAATAAGGAAATGTAACAAATATACCGACCTATCAAATCACATTTATAGAAACATTCTGATGTAATCAATTAAGTCCAACATTATTAATTAGTGTGTTTCTTACTAATGAAATCATCATTCATCAACAACCAAGCCGTGGTATCAACAACATAATTAATGCATTCTCTTACAATTATAAGTTCATTAGTTCGGTCTATGTATACAACAACAATTTAATTTTATTTTAGATTTGAGAAGGAATATAGTGATGATTAGTGATAGACTTGGTAGCGTTGATGATGGTGAGGACGAAGAAGATGATGCAAGATAAGTAGCCAAAGACTATGCCGACGATGGCCTTGTGGCAGAAGCTATGAAAATGGTCACAGATTGGCATCCAGCCTGATTGTTCATATCCGTATTGCGCTACGTATCCTATGGCTGTTGCTGCCGCGCACCCTGATAGTAATAGTGTCATTGTTACCTGCATCAATCACCCGGCCAACAACATTTCTTTGTATGTTAGTTTAAATATATAAACTTGCGTTATTACTTATACGCCAATATGTTAATGAGTTTGAACCATATATTAAGCAATAAGTAACCTTGACATGTGGTAAAAAGAAAAATTAATATGATGGGATGACGTCCTTAAAAGTTGAAATTTAATTAATATTGTTTTACTTGACCTGGGACAAGCTAAAACTTTCACCTCCTAGAATTTTGCTTCTTCTACCAACAATAATACTGTCAATAGTCTTTTTGGAGACATTGGATAAATTTGGAACAAAATTATCAATAATATACAATTATTGAAGTATATGTAATTTAGCACCAAAACTCGCTCTAATAAAAATTTGTACATGTATTATTATATTGTAGCAAATTGTGTGCTGATTTTTATTTTTTGTTTGTTTGTTTAGAGAGCCATACGGACGGGGTGAGCATCGATCTCAGGATCTCTAGATTCGTGAGAAAAGCTCTAATTACTTGAAGTATCCCCACTTTATAATATGGTAAAATATGGATGGAGTATTTATTTATTTATTTTTTATTTTTTTTTGTGTGTGTGTGTGGTTATTAGTAATAATTAAAACTAATTGAGTAATTTGAAGTAGTCAAATAATCTTGTTTACCAGATCATGCAAGAAGAAGAACAGCTGATGATTAGATTTAGTTGATGCAATTCGCGGCCGAATGAAGGTGAAGATCAAGGAAAGAAGAGAAAACAGACTTGCTATTGCTGTTGCATAAGCAAAAAACCTGCCCAAAAACAGAACATATCAAAATTTATGCACAAAAAACAAAAGCATTCATGAAAATATAAATAAACCAAAATCTGGAAGTATTAATACTTGAAAGCTGAGGAGTAGCTATATTTGGCTACCATTTCCATTCCAAATATAATGGCAGTTTGATTACAAGTGAATACTATGGAAGAAGCTGCTATCGACGTTGCAAGTGCAGCTGTTCTTAGCCCAATCTGAATCACATCAACCTTGTTATACTGTTTTATCTTTTGGAGGGTTTCCTCTTGTTTGTCTTCTTCATATGGTGACATTGTAAGAGAAAAAGCACGAGCGAGCGCGAGATAGATTTTGTGGGAGAGAATGGGAGCAATGGAGTATGGTGGTAGTGAAGAGGAGTGGGTGCAAAGAACAAAGTTTATGGGAGCTAAGAGAGTGTTTATATAGAAGGAAATTTTTGTGTTTTAAAGAAAAAGTGAATTTGATTATTTGAAGAAAATTGGAGGGTAAATATTAATGAAGTGATATATAAAAGTCAAAGAAAATGGGGAAGGAATGGAGAATAGGAGTTAATGATGATTTTGAAGACCATAACTAGACTTTAGGAAGAAAAATAAAAATCAATTAAGGTGGAGAGAAGAATTTTTTTTAAGGCTAGCTAAATCCTTGATGAGATGTTGATGGTAACTTTTTGGCTATATTAAAAATTGCTCCGTATTAATCAATAATAATACAAATCAACACGTATGTGATTTCTGAAATTTTTTCTCTGGAGGCGGATGCACCATGATTGGTGCATCCGGTTTTCTTTTAAAAAAAGGCGGAACGAACATTTAGTTGTTCAGTAAAACATATAGTTGTTTTATAAAGAACATATAGCTATTTTATAAAGAACATCTAGTTTTATATGTTTTTTTTTGTTTTTTTGTAAATCTAAAGAACATTTGTAATATTAGTAAAGAACATGATAATATTAAAGAACATTATTCATATAGTAAATGTACATTTGGTATAAATGACCATGTATGCATATAAAGAAGTACATTTTATTGTATTATAATGTATATTGTACTATATTCTAATGAACATATATGTTATAATGTTGGTTACATGTTTAATGTACATTGTATTATTTGCATCATGTAAGTATATGAAAAAGGAACATTTTACTGTATTTTAATGTACATTGCATTATTTGAATCTACAACTTTTTCTAAAATTGTCTATTTGCTTGTTTTTTTCTTCAAAAATGGATTATTCGGAAGATCTTCTTCAAGAACTTCATTTTATTTGTCATCTTGAACAATTTTGGACTCAAAATTTCGAATTTCTTGAAATTTTGTTTGAGGTTTGAGGAATTTAAATGGGTTTGAAGTTTTGTTTGGAGAGAGAAAGTGAACTTTTGGTTAAAAAAAATATTGAAATGATTTGTAATTAATGTATGGTAGAAAAAATAATTATAGTACTATTTATCTATTTCATTATACAAAAAAAAATTATATTATTATACAAAAATAATATACAAAATTGTTGCACAAAAATCTGATGTACATTATAAATGAACACTATGTTCTTTATGTATATGTCCATATACATTATAAATGAACACTATGTTCTTTTATATGCCCATGTACATTAGTATATACCTGCATGTTCATTCCGCCTTTTTATACTTTGGAGCGGATGCACCATGCGGATCGTGCATCCGCCTCCACGAACCAAGCTTTACGTGATTTCATCTAAATTTTCAATACTTGTATCATTTAGAAAAAGCATTCCTAAAAGTTGAATATACAAAAATCAATTGTGTTTTATTATTGTCGTGTGATTCTAATTTTAGTTATCGTATTATTGAATGTGAAACTGTGAAAGGGCTATTGGGTTAATAAGAAAAGATTAACACTTTTGTAATTTTGTGTCTAACGAAATTTTCTTGTGAGATTATTTAAATTACTCCGTACTTTGTTTTAACTTGAGATATTCTTTAATCGTAAATTCGTAATGACAAATTAGAAGGAAATAAAGTTAAGAATAAGAAACAAAAGTATTTCAATACTTAACTTAGTAAAGAACCTGCTCACTATTCTTTTATATGTTTGTTCCTCGCAACTTTCAATTGGCATCGTCAAAAGTAATGAAAATGTCAATATAGACATTTAATACTCCCTATGTTTAAAATGGGATACCATAAAATGATCAAGTCGTACAAATATGGTTTCATATCTAGCGAGTAATGAGCATCTATCAACATTCACAACCAATCATTTATTGTTTTCTTTTCCTCATATATGGCTCTACCTTATAATTATTGTCAAGACATGCCTTTTATGCCTATTTTGTATTGTCATATTACGATTTACATTAGTAAATCGTCCTCCTCTCTTTTTTGTAGTTGTGTTCTTTTTTCCAATAATAATGAGCCGAACCAAGAGTGGTGAATATAATTTTATTGTAAATTTTAAAAAAATAATGAATCTGTCAATGTATGCATTTTGTTGAAAAAGAAAGATAATATGGAGTACAAAAAGGAATTGTATGTAAAGGATAATGATATTAGCTTGATTTACTGATAATATGGAGTACAAAAACGAATTGTATGTAAAGGATAATGATATTAGCTTGATTTACTCCTTGATTTACACATTTAGGTTGATAGTCAAAAATATTTCTTGTTTTTAGCTAATGTACCTAGATAAATACTTTAATGTATCTAGTAATAGTCTAATGCTTAGTTATGCACTATAAATATTCTTGTATACTTTACAATATTATCAAACTTTTCAACATTCCTGTTATCATAACTCTATCATGGTATCATGAGCTTTTGATCCATCTTTTCTTGCTTCCGCTACTACCATGGCTACACTATCAAAACCCTTTGCCGACACTGACAAATTATGGCGATCATACCAAACTTCCTTCTCGAAAATCTTCAACCAAAATCACACTTTACGATAAACTCTTTTGACACCCTGTATTTCATATACCAAGAGATGTAAAATATATATATATATATATATATATATATATATATATATATATATATATATATATATATATATATATATATATATATATATATTCCTCCAAACCCCTTATGGAGAAACAATCCCTTTTCGGCATCCGGTAGTTTACCTACCAAGTGTTGCCAAACATGAAATTCTCTCTTCAAAACTATTATGGAAAAACATACTCTTTCCATTCTAAACACCATCAACACCATTTCATTTTTTTTTCTCGCCTTCAATATGAAGGAATCCCTATATTTTCATTCTTCACCCATACGTTGCAAGTATATGCTAGCAAAAATTCTTCATTTTAATTTTGCAGTTAATGGTTCATTTATCACAACAACTGTGAAAAATACCCATTAAAAAAACTCCTTATTCTCTATACATTTGGAAAAAAAAAAACACACCCTAAACTCTCTCCAAACCCTCTCGGAGAATAACAATGCAATGCAACCCTTCTCACCAACTACACTTGAATTCGTACATTGACCAAGATAGATTTATGTTATTATATCCAAGATCTCTCTAGTTCCGAACATTGTCTTGTGGGGGCATATAAAGGTTAATGATATTAGCAATATCATTATCCCTCGGTTTACCCCCATTTAGGTTGATAGTCAAAGATATCCCTTGTTCTTGTCTAATGTATCTAGACAAATACTGTAATGTATCTAAATTAGTCATAGTCTAATGCTTACTTATGTACAATAAATATTCTTGTATACTTTTCAATATAATCAAGCTTTTCAACATTCATTTTATCATTTTTTTTTTAAACCACTTTATCATAACTCTATCATTGTAAGACTATAAGAGTAATAATAATCTTCCCGTCAAAAAAAAAGAGTAATAATAATCTTATTACGGATGAGCTGAGGACGAGGTATTGTGAATGCCAAGATTGTTAGCTACGTTAGTTGATAAAGACTTTATAAACAGTACTTAAGATTTAAAGATCAAATTTGGTCTATATTAATATTGTTGGAGAATAGAAAAGTTCATGGACGATTATTTTTTAATCTTTCAAATTAATGTTTTTATGCAAAAAAATAACAGAAAATCCAAGTCCACTTTCTTGATGTAAGGAGGAATATATTAGAGAGAGATTGATTAAAAAATGATTCCATGTGAAAGAATAATGTAGTCGCACAATGCTATAGCTACGTCTCCAATGCCTTGCCTAAGTGAATAACTGCACAATTACGTACCGTAAATAGGATGGCTTAATAATCGGGGAACTTGTAGAATGAGTAACAATTAATAGCAAAATAATTGAACTACAATTTGAAGAAACTCCTACAAATTGACCATTTAATCTTACCTTTTTCTATTTTATTGTTCCATTTCATGTAAATATTTTGATTCTTCTTTCTGATTAGCATTTAATCATTTAGCTTTATATTAAGACCATGTTCACTTCACCTTAAAAAAATAATATTAAGTAAAAATAAATCCAGTTCATTAAGAAAAAGTACAGTTCAGTAAAAATAAGTTCAGTTCAGTAAAATTCAGTTATCTTATAGAAGAATTGTAATAGAAAATCAGTAAAAATAATTTCAGTTCAGCAAAATAATTTCATTTCAGTAAAATTAATTTAAGTTTAGTAAAAATAGTTTAAGTTCAGCAAATATTATTTTGTTTTCAGTTCAACAAATATAAGATGAAGTGAACGGGGCCCTAAGTACATAATACTCGGAGTATTACGAGAGTATAAAATATATCGATCATATGTTACACAACCATCATTGAATGAGACTTAATAGGTATTTGAAAATCGTAGCTTTATCAGTTTCCCCTTATCATCCGCAACAACAACAACAACAAAAAAAAAAAAAAAAAAAAAAAGGTTGTATTCTTCGTTGACGCTTGAGGTATAAGATTCTTAATATGATCTTGTGATTATGCCTTAAATTTACCATATAGTATGCATATAGACTTAGAAATTGTAACAGAATTTAGGGTGGTTTGATATAAATACTTCCTATAGAAATAGACAAGACGTTTCCTTTTGCAAATTGCAATTATACGTTTTGAGAATCAATTATTGAAAGAGATGGTTCTAACTTATTAGTTAGAGTTGGAAAATGACAAATTTTAACACGGGTAACAAATATTTTGGTTTGAGAATATGACAGAATTAGCTAGCTTGTGTAGGAAAAAGACCTTTTAGTGGGTGACGGCCTGTTTGTGTTTAGGCCAGGACTTCAGAAGGAGAAGAAGATAGAATTGATGATAGGTAACAAATTAAATATTTTGCTTTGAGGATTTGATACAATTTGTTATTTTTTTTTTGTTGGAAATTTTTTTGTTATTTTATTCGTTGTATGTAATATATATCATTTAATATTTTTATTTTAAAATAAAATGTAAATTTCCTCACATTCGTGATATATTTAGATACAATTTCTTGTCTCAAAAGATAATATTTATAATTAATTAATTTAAACTTTAAAATCTCATTTGCCAATTTTGTTTTTATAGCATTTGAATTATTTAATTCTAAAATAATTTACAAATCTCTTATTTAATTGACTATAATTAAAATTAATAATCCTACCTAGTGTGCTAAGAAGTTTTGTATCCGAGCGCCGCCCTGATTGTTGATAAAATTTCAATATAAACTTTTTTACTTGAATATTACATACGATCTTACAATCCCTTTGATAATGTATGATATTTAGACTTACGATGTCATATCGATTATTTAGTTAAATTATAGTGTACTTTTTATAGTTTAGTTTGTGAATATCTATGTTAATGAACTAAAATTGTTTTTTGGTTACTAAATTCTCTATTTTTTAAACTAACTAAATTGAATATATTATAAATGTATCTTATTTTAAAGAACTTTTTGGAACGAATTTTATGATGAAAATAAAACAAATAAAAGTTATGATTTTGTATATATGAAATATTAGAAGTACAGTGATAATAAAACTCTATACAACGCTTTTATCTTAATAATATATCCAAATATCGCTATGTGCACAATAATACTCCCTCCGTCTCTTAATACAATGCCTCTTTCGAGCATTTATTACT